GGTTTTCTAACCATCTACAGGTAATTTCCTGAGGACATAATTTAGAATATTTACTATATTCTCCCTATCTGACAATCTGCAATTATATGAACATTATTATTACACAAATGTATGAACATGACAGTAGTAAACACGTTAAAATAAATTAAATAGCTGAAATCAGATAATTCATCCACAAAATGATAAACACAAATTTATACAAAATTTAGAAAGCCTGGACACTTTCCTTTCTAAAATGATGTTGTTATTAAACATGCCATTTGTTTTTCTTTATTGATCTGCATCTCCTACTATTACTAATTAATAGATAGCCAAGGAGCTCCATTTTTTATTTTTTGCCTCTCTTTCTTCTACTTAATTTGTTTAAATGACACCAAAATCAAGACCACCTTGAAATTTAGGATTTATCTGAAAAGATTTGAAATAATGCATTCACCAATAATGGAAATCTTGGAAGAGTAAATTTTGTGAAGTGAGGTATGGGAGCAACAATGCCAGTGACATGTGCTACAGATGTAAAGATATGCTACAAGTTCTTCACAATATAAGCAAATTAAAAATAAAATAAAATGATGATGATGATGGCAGTGGTGGTAGTGATTCAACTTACAGGTCAGATAAACGTCTATGTTCTTTATAGGTATTTGAAATCATAAGAAAGATTAGGCATTCCTCATTATGCATTTCATGAAATGGAGAGAGAAAAAAGTCTGACCGCTTTTAAAGGGCAGACTATGATAAAAAAAATAATCAAAGGGTCATCCATTCACACAAGAACATCTTCCCTTGTTGTTTTTCATTTTTTAGTAAATCATACAGTCATAAAAATGTACAAATTATGTGGGTGACTCTATGAATTATCAAAAAATGAACAAATTTACAGAATCTCTTCTTGAACTAAAAATGGCACACTACCAGAATCCCATCATCAGCACATCCCTACCTCCCAGGAGTATCTCTACTCTGATTTAGAAGATCATTCATCATTATATGATTCTGCATTTTAGTTCAATGAAATCATATCTCATATATTGTGCATTTCCCTTATCCTTATTTTTTGTGAGATTTATTCATTTTGTTCCATGAAGCGAGTATTCACAAATAATGTGTATCTGTTTCTGAGCTCCTGTTCAGATTCATTGGTTTACATATTTATCCTTGAATTAACACTACACAATTTGATTGAACACAGCCTTTTAAAAAGTTGATCTTCTTTTGTTTTTAAGTTACTTATTTTTGGTACAGTTATGATAGATATTTTAAACAATATAATTTACTAAGTATCAAACCAATTTCAGTTAACCTGCTCAGTGTTATTAAATAAAATATATATATGGTGGTTCTGCAGTATAGAAAATAAAAAGTTCATCTTCTTTTCAAGATCATCAACATTTTTTCTGGCATTTTAATAGAAATATCAGAATCAGCTTTTCGATTTACACATACATGCCTATACAAATTGCTGGGATTGTTTTTCCAGGGAGCCCACTGAACAAATAAATCACTTTGAGAAATTTTAACATATTTCCAATATTGCATTTTCCATTTATAAACATGATCTCTTCTCCCTGTTATTTATATCTCTGTAATCTATCAATAATGCTTTACACTCTTCTTTATAGAGGTCTTGCATAGATTTATTTCCAGGTGTTTTGTTTTTGTTGTCAATATAAATAATATACATTTATAAAATGTATTTTTCAATTGTTTGTTATTTGAATATATGTAAATAAGGCCGATTTTTACATTGATCTTATATCCAACAGTTTGCTAAATCATATTTCAATACTTTAAATATTTTATAATAGCCTAATATTGTATTATAAATATTTTCACTATTATTTGCAAAAACTGAGAGCTTTATATTTTTATCCAAATCCTTATACATTTTACTTCTTAGCTTGAAGCATTTATAAACTTTAGGTCAATAAAAAATAAAAATGATGACAGTGGACATCCTTATATAGTTGTGATATATTAGTACCCCATCATCTGGTATGTTTCTCAGGTTTATTTTTAAATACTCGTAATTAAGTTAAGTAAGTCCTTTTCTGTTCCTGGTGCACTAAGAGGACATTGGTGGTAGTGGTATTTTTGGTTTGGTTTTGGTTTCCGATCATGAAAGCATATATACTGCTCCTTTTGTATTATCAAATGCTTTTTCTGATCTACTGAAATTACTTTTCTCATCTTGAGACAACATGAAAGTTTTCTCTTTTGTTCTGTTTATGTAGTAATTTACCTTAATTGATTTCTCAATGCACTCATGACTAAACCCAGATTGGTAATAATATTTATTTATGCATCACTGGCCTTCGTGTGCTAATCTTTTGTTTAGGATTTTTACATCTGTGTTTAAGAGATATATTAGGCTAGAGCTCCCTTTCTTGTGAGCTCTCTATGTAAGGTAAGGTGGTTTCAGAACAACAAGTTGTTCATTTTTTTCTATCATCTGAGATAATTCATGGAAATATTATTTTTTGAGTATTTGGAAAAAATCACTAATGAAGACATGAGCCTATAGATTATTTGAGGGAAAGTTTTAAATTATGAATTCAATTTCTTTAATAGGTCAATGGCAAAAGATTTTCTTCCTGTTTCCTAGTTTGCCCTTAAACCTCAAGAATTCCAACATTCCAATATAGAATGCCCAGAGTTCTTTGTGCTTTGAAACTCTTTTAGAATCTTCGGCTACCATAGTAGCAGTATCAAAAAAGCAGAAACACGAGTATAAAGGAGAAGCTGGTGCACAGTCACATGAAAAACTTTCTCAATGTAATTAAAGATGAATATGATCAAAGGGATATTTCACTTTCATCAAGATAAAAACAAAGAAATAAGGAAACTTTCACATGGATCTTAATTTTACATAAGCTTTCATATCACGAAGATTTTGTTTTATTACTTTTACTAAGTTTAATAGAGAGTTATAAATGTGTGAGAAAAATACCTTTTTTCAACATTGTTAAGCAGATATGTAAACAATTGTTAAGGCAAATCTGGTTTGATGAATAAACTGACAAATCTTTATTCAGGTGTGAGTGGTTTGGGCTTATAAATGCTATTATATATTCAATTTTCACATTTATACCTTAAACCGATGATAAATTAATAAGTATAAATCATTAAACATTGTGACATCTATATGATATAAAATATTTTAATATCTTCAAAACTTTACACTTAAAAATACAAAAACAAATATTTTGTTTTATATGTAACAGTGGATATATGTTGAATATAACATTTATTTTAAATAAGATTATTGGAATTAAAAACTGCCAGTGCTATTTCTTAACATATTTCCACTGTTAGATACAAATTTATCTAACATTGATTATTGAGTAGGAATCTTAAAATCATTTAAAATATTTCACCTTTGCTTGTACATTTACTATTACTAGTCAGTTCCCAGGAACAATAATTAGAAGTTACTTAGCTAACAGCAAAAATAAATGTTTTAAATAGATTTTAATAATTTGTATGGAAGCAATGACTAAATACATATTCATTTAATAATAGAGAAAAGCATCAAATATAACTATATTTTTAAAAATAAACTTTAAAAAAGAGACTCCAATGGTCACCAAGTAGCCAAAATGGGAAGCATGCAGGAAGGACTATTTCAAAATCCCCATTTTGCTTTCTTATGAATAAAACTTACCCTTTAAGATATTTACTTTCTTGCCCTGGCTGGTGTGGTTCAGTGGACTGAGCACCATCCTGTGAACCAAAGAGTCAGCAGTTTGATTCCCAGTCAGGGCACACGCCTGGGTTGTGGGCCAGGTTCTCAGTTGGGGGCACATGAGAGGCAACCACATATTGATGTTTCTCTCCCTCTCTTTCTCCTTCCTTCTCCTCTGTCTAAAAATAAATAAAACCTTTAAAAAAATTTACTTTCTTCTCCACATTTCCAGTGCCTGACATATAATCCTGTCATGATAAATCCTCATATAATAAATAACAATGAATTGTTTGGGAGGGGTTTTCTTGGAAGAAATGTTGTACACTTGAAATCTGTATGGTTTTGTGAACCAATGTCACCCCAATAAATTCAATTTAAAACAAAGGGAAAAATAGATTTAAAAAAGAAGAAAAAAACAAGTAGATACCTACACTGAGAGACCAAAGAAAACATTAAAAACTCATAAACTGGATATATTTAACATTCGGTAGAGTAACGAACAAAACAAAGCAAGACTCCAATAACAAAAAGTAGAATAAAATCACATTTAATTTTTTCTTGAAACACATATTAAAGAAATAGCCAAACATTATGCATAGCTTTCATTAGTGTCAACATTATATGACATCACTATAGATGACATAAAATGTTGCCTAGTTGTTTTCTAGTTCTGAAAGAAATCAGATTGGCAGACAATTCAGAGACCACAGAGACGTAAGTGTGAATGTCCGTTTAAATATTTTATACCACTACTAAATGTCTAAGTAAATATGGAAAAAAATCTACAGTATATAACCTCTTTTAAAAAATGTTTTCTAGTTCTTACAAAGCCAGAAACATTTTTTTAAATACCTGGCATTTTCCACATCAGTAACAGGTGATTTATTTGTAAATATTGAATGTATTTGTGGAAGATTAATAGTTTGGTGGTAGTTTATCAGAGTTGACTATAGTACTGCAAGGAATTTAATGCACTAACCTTGTTCAATATTCAATCTTCAATCTAGAATTATTAATTTTTAATGTATTTGTGCTGAAATTTATTTAAGCTTCTTAATTTTGTTATATCAACCTAATAGTTAATTTACTGACTTTTCTTCCTATTTTCACTGTTTTCTCCTATAGTGGGCCAAATCAAGCCTTGTTTAGATCCCTGAAATAGTATTTCTTGTGCAATATCAACACACCAGCCAATTCTATGTGAACAGATTCTCACTAGATTCCATACTTTCTTGTTGCAAATATCATTGTCTTTGGTTGAACCCAACACAGTTGTAATTTATATAGTTTGCTCAGATAAAACACTAACAAGACAATGGTTGTCTCTGAATCAAAGTGGATTAATAGAAGAAAGATACTGTGCTTGTTTTCTTCTTTTTTCTCTTGCACCCAAGACCAAAATAAGCTCAAATGTGAATCTCAGGAAGTTAAAAAAAATCTTTGGAGAGACAATCAGAGGTGCAGGGATGAAAACAAAGCTCTTAGAAGAGAAAACAAGTCCCTCTGGGGAGAAAACAAATTTCTCCGAAGAGAAAATAAAGCCTTCCGAATGGACAACCAGTTAATCCGGGAAAAGAATCAGGCCCTGAGACAGCAAAACCAGGTTCTATGGAAATTTAATAACGTGATTTTCGAAAGCCAAAAACCACTTGGGGTAAAAATGAACGCATTGAGCACAGAAAGAAAGTCTTTATGGCAACAGAATCGAGCCCTGGAAGCTCAGATGAAAGCTCTCCAGGAGCAGGAGACAGCCTTCCAGAATGAGGCAAAAGCTCTTCAAGAAGAAATAAGGTCTCTCCATGAGAAGATCAAGGCCCTGCAACATCAGGAGAGAGGAATCAAGATGGAGGAACTAGCCCTGATGAAAGAAGAAATAGCGCTAGAGATGGAAGAACAGGCTCTGTGGAAGGAGGAACAGGCCCTTCGTGAGGAGAACAAGGCGCTCAGAGAAGAAAATGGAGCTCTTCAAGAGGAGGAAAAAGCCCTTCTTGAAGAGGCAAAGGTGCTTGAGCAGTGGAATAAGGTTCTTCAAGGAAAAGACAGCAAGCATTCTTGCTGGAAAAATGCACAATAAGAAAATAAGAAAACAGGAGAAGTATTAGTTGAAGCAACCACGAAACCAGCAAACCATGAACATCATTAACATTCCAGAAAAAATTTTTTTTTAACTTTTGAAGGTGAAATACTATTGGAGTTAGAGTCAAGAGCCTGGAAACGTGCAGTGATCAATCAGTACCTTCTCCTGGAAAACAAATAAAGTCCTGAAAAGTTAAAAAAAATTATGTTTCCTTGAACTTTATACTTCTATAAGTGGCTAATTTTATTGTAGAATGCAAAATATCCATTGCTCCAAATGTGATGCTGAATGAGCCAAGTGAGTGTGGTGTTAACATTCAGAGCCAGTGAATGAATAGTGTACAAAACTTAACAGCACAAAGGAAACACCTGTCTTAAAATTCACTCTTTGAATTATACATAACATAGTGAACTATAAAGTTTTACATACTTAGTCCACCTGTATGTGAAAAAAAAGGTGTGTAAGAGTATTTTTTCTGTCTCATTATGCTTATTCCAATGATCTCAATGAGGAGGCAATAAAATAAGAACTGAAAAACTGTGATAGCACAATAATTTTCAATGACTGTTCATAGGCTGCCTCATTTTTCTTTATTTTCCTTCACTTATCTTCTTCCTCCGTTAGCTTTCTGGGATGGTGGCTGTTCTATCTAATAAATGTAGTAAAGACAGAAAAAGGAGCGAGGGAACAAAGGTCTCCCAACTATAATAAGAGGTTTGAAGCTTGGAATGTGAGTCAATGGCTAACTTCGTGTTCACTGAAAACTGGGGAAGGAAGAAATAGAATTTTCAAGACTATTAACATTGATAATTGATCTAGTTGAATGTTTTTTTAAAAATGTTCTGCAAAAACTGAGTCACAAGAACTCATGGATTTATTAGAGTTACACATGTAGTTGCAGAAAACTAAATTACGAACTGTCACGGCCTGGTGCTTGACCTTATTTTAAACATTTAATGTACTTTATTAAATATAACAGATAATATCTCATTCTGCTGCTTGTGTAGTCTTGAGGGAACAGAAGTATAAGAAAAGTATAGGAGGAGAACGTATTTTTCCTTCCCTAGGTGCTGCCACATATGCAGAAAGGCAACACACGTTTATTGGACCCCTTCAATTATCACTAAGCAATACAAATATATTTAAGCATAAAAAGTGAAAAGAGACATATCCCCTGATTTTAAGCATTCCACACTATATAAAGTAAACATTCTTACTTTATTTCTTGAGAGTTTATCTGTCTGATCAATAGTTTCCTGACCACTATTCCCTGGAACATACACAGTGGGGCAAAAGTAGGTTTATAGTTGTCCATATAGGAAATAAAGCAATAATTAATACATGATAATAGGAGAATAAACAATGTCTCATGTTTTCACAACTGTAAACCCACTTTTGCCCTGCTCTGTATATAGTTGCCATTTAAATAAAATGATTCAACCTGGGAGAAGACAAGGTTTATATATATGTTCTCAATTGACTTGTAGTCCATATCGGGATGGGAAAGAAATGCAAAGCCTTTATAATTTTCCCTGCCTTGCAAGATGTGGAAGCAGCCTGTAAGCAGGTGAATAGCCAAGTTCATGTTTCAGGGATTTATGGATAAGTCGCTCTATTGACTACACATTAATTTAAGGTCCTTGCTTTGGAAATTCCTTGATGTGGTGTTTAGGAGAAGTAAACTATTTTATTCTTTGGTGGTGAGGTCAGGAAGATCAGTGTCCACGGAGTAGGTATGGTCAATGACTCCTCTCTGTGAGAAGGCTGCCACTGTTGCATCATAGTTAAATCAATAGCAACTCAGGTTAGACTGAAAGGATAAGACATACTTATCAGAACCTCAGTGTCCTCTTTGAAGTCAAATGCTAAGCTAAAGATTGGCACTGCTACAGAGAAATTTTGATTTTTATAGCACAATCTACCAGTGAGAAATTAATTAAGGAATGAGTTAAAACAATTTATGTTGCTATCACTCATTATAGTGGTTTATGATAGTTCACCTTCATGGTCTAATCAAAAGTTTCTACTAAAATTTCTAGTTAACATCATATTGATGGAATACTATATTGAAACTATATTTTCCCATGTAATAAGCTGGATATATTTAATTGTACATTTAAAAGTTTTTATAGGTATTATTAGACATCAATTTTATGAAAATTATCTTTTTAATAAATTATTTTAATGTATTGTGATGCTCACAATTCAAAGACTTTATAGTAAATAGTCTTTGTTTCCTCATGGTTTCCAGGGAGGGCGATCACCTAAAGGATAACTGAATTTGTAAAGCTTCCAAGGGAACTGCTCTTCCTCCAGACCAGCAAGCAGGTACCAACTGCAGGAAAGAGCAACTGCATGAATGCTCCAAATACCTTCTTTACCACCAGAGATCACCTACCTTTAAGAGATCATCAGGTCTGAACTCACACACTAAGCTCAATCTTTTTAATGCCAGAAGCCTCAGGCTCCCAGGTCCATCCTGTCTGATTTATACTCCGGTGTGCTCTTTGTATCTCTGAAATGCGGCGATTCTTCATCGTTCCCTGCGCTCCTGAAACATTTTATCAAAACTCCTATAACTTGAACCTCTTCTGTGGAAGTTCCTTTTGTCTCCTTAACCTGGGTCGACCTCAAGTGATGCTGCCCTGGCAGTGTGCCTTTCAGAAGGCTCTGAACCACCAGCTGAGATGGACCTAGTGCAGGTTTCCTCATTTCTCACTGCATTTCTGGAACTTTTATCCTGTTTCCTCAAATGAAAGATTTAGTTTCAAGGAAGCACATGTATGAAATGCTGCTTTCTATCCTAAGTGATACTTCATATTCAGACTTCTTGTTCTTTCTCGTTCAACATCACAACCTTTGGAATGTGGCTCATAATAGTACTCCTCCCCACACCCTTCTGCTTTTATGCTTGTGTATGGCTTCGAGGTGCACATAGATGATTAATCCAGAAATGTGCCACACATGTCTTTGGATCTTATCTCTGGAGACCAAACATTTCTTCCATATCACCTCAGCTTCTATCCCCAGTGTTATTATTTAAGATATTTATGATTCGCAAGTACAATGATTCAAATGTGAATCGTCCCACTTTTTTAATATACTTCCTACACCTCTCTTAGTTCCCTACTTACCCAGCTCATGTAGAAATCCAATTCATTAGCTGCATCAGCATTATTTCAAAACCCTCCCATCCCCATATTCTCATTTCTCTTGATTCTGGTTCAATATTATACCCTTGGGAATGTTCTTTACTTTTTAAACTCACTCTCTAGTGCATGGATCTGAAAAATGTTCAACCCTGAATCCCTGCAACTATGCACTTTTTCCATGTCTATACTTTGTCTAGTTCCTTGTTTACTTACTTGTGTTCAGAATAGCTGAAGGTAGCCAGAGGTATTGCTATTAACACAGAGATAATAATATATACTGAATATCTAAATATTTACATATATTAACTCACTTCATCTCTAAAAGCAACCTAAGTACTATCAGTTACCCCTTTTTACAGGTGAGGAAAAAGCAGCATGAGAAAATTAAAATTTGACTCTTTCCAAGAGAACCTGTTATGGTTTATTTCAGAAATGAGATTTGAATTCATGTAGCCTGACTTGAGACTTTACCTGCTTAGTCTCTACAGTGTCTTTCCTTTACACAAAATTCGGGGTATTAACACTATGATATCACCCAAAATGAATATGGAGTCTCAATATTGCCCAGCAATTCTACTTTTTTCCTGCTTTCCAGTATAACAAGATTTTAAAATCTTTCAACTACCTCAAATAACTCTTACATCTCTCACTACCAAACACTACCAAATACCAAACCTGCTTCATAGATTCCTAAATATATATATATATATATAATCTCAACTCTGACATTATCATTCTACCATAAATACAATTTCAGTTACTCTATACACATAGTGCCTACTTTCCCTCCTATTGAAAAGAAAATAGGTTTATCAAAACGTAATCCCTCTCTATCTGCTCAGTTTTATCATGTCTTTTCCTCTCAAGGAATTATTTGTATGTGCATTCTCTAACATTTAACACTTTCAAAAATGACTGCTAGCCTTTTGAATTTTTGCCTTTCTAGTGGATATGAAGCAGTAGTTCACTGCGGTTTAATCTGAATATCCCTGATAGCTACTGATGTTGAATATATTTTCATATGCCTTATGGCCATAGGGTATCTCTTCTAAAAAGTGAATGTCAATCATTTTGTTTCAATTCTTCTTGATTGTTTGTCTTCTTTTTATTAAATTTTAATAGCTCTTTGTATACTTGGGACATGGGCCCTTTTAGAGTTATATGTATTGCAAATATTTTCTCTAATTTGTGACTTTTTTTCATTTTCAAAAGTGAGATGTGAAACAGAAGGCTGAAATATAAAATACAATTTATCCTTATTTTTTTCCCCATTTACTGATGGATTGTATTTACATCTACTGTCTTATTAGCAGTTGTGTTCTCATTTTGAACCAAATATTTTTGCTCCGGTATATGGATTCATGCTAACAGTAAACACGACTCTGATATCTAGTATTTGCTTGCATATGTGTAAACTGTGATGAAAAATAAGTATTTTAAGTTCACTGAGCTGCAATTTATATACATTAAATTAGGCATATTAATAACTAACATTTATTTGAGCTAGGTTTATAATGTCTTGCAAATATTTAACTCTTAAATTATATCTTATAATTCATACAATTACTATTCATATTTTTTTCAGAAGGCAACTGAGACTTTAGACTAGATAAGTAACTTGCCCCGAAATGTGTAACAGCAAATGACTACAAGGTATGCTTTAAAATTCATAATGCCATTTCAATTAATATTCTATTTTTTAGGTAGATCCAGCACTTTCTTTTTCTTTCTACTTGTTATAACGTCATGATCCTTCACAGAGTAAACAACAACATTACACTCAATTATTTTAAGATAAAACATTTTAACTAGCCATATTGACTCCTATTTTGTTCTGGAAATCAT